AATTCATTTCAGAAAGTGTTGATCTTGGTGAAGGAGAATGCAATTGTCAAGTGAATTTTGCTTATTGAAATATTACCTGAGATTTTAGGTCAAATGATCAAATGATCTTTGTTAAGCAGTTTAAAGATATCTCTAATTTTCATCTTGATTGATTGATCAAAACCTGAATTCAGTAGTGACCTACTCTAAAAGAATTTGAAATGTCAGAAGTTTTGTTATATTCTGGAAACACAGATCTAAAAATTTTGATGCTAAGGCACAGTTATCCTGCATTGCTCTTCTCTCCATCTCCCAATCATGACCATGAGAAGTACCTTAATCAGACTAGTGAGTCTACCATCTGTGAAATACATTTTAGTGCCTGTTCTCTAAACACCAGCACTCCTTTGTAGTTAAAACAGGTTGTCTCATTTATTGTTGTGATCTTAAACGAGTTTCTTATCCTCTTTGTGCTTCAGTTTGCTCATCTATAAAGTGGGTGGGTAGTAGTGGCTACCTCACAGGGGTGTCATGAGAATTATATAAATTAATATTAATATTTGCAAAACACATAAAAATGACTGACATATAGTAAGCAGTATAAGAGAGTTGATAAATAAAATAATATAGCTTTGGACTTCTGCTCCAGGTCAAGATGGAGCAACAAGTACCAAATACATCTGCTCACCTGAAATGATTAAAATATTGGGAAAACTATATGAGAGAAATCCCATTCAAGTCTCTGAACAGCAGGCAAGCAAGGACAGCAATCCCTGAGAAATGGGAAACAAAGGAGGTGAGACCTGTAATTACCCACTGTTATTGCCTGAGGAAAGTTTCCCAGTAAGGACTCTGGAAGGAGATCCCAGACAGAGCCAGGTGGAGCTCTTCAGTTTAGGAGATAGCACTGTGAATCTGGTGATGACAGGGCGGCTAGAACTTATAGGTCAGAGTATTGGAGAGAAGGAGGATGCAACCAAAGACAACTGCAGACAACTGCAGTCACCCTCAAGCGCTCAGATAAAGATCAGAGCTTGCAGGTGGGAAACTATTCTGGGCTGGGGATACAGAGCTGAAAACACTAGAGGGAAAAGTACTAGAAGCTCTCATAGAAGGAAATTGATAAAAGATGAAAACCTAGATCTACATAAAAGCATAAAGAGAATCAGAAATAGTTAATACATACTGAATTACATTTTTTCTTATTTTATCCCTTCCATAGATAATCAACTGTTCAGAGAAAAGACAGGAACAATGTATGGGAAGTTTATTGCATATATAGAAGTTAAAAGTATAAATAATAAGAGCACAAAGTCTTGGAGAAAAGAAATGATAGTATTATGAGAGTTTTGAATACTCAGTATTATGAGAATATTATGAAACAATTATGTGAGTCCCCTACCCTACTGTATGTGAGGGGCTTCCTTGGTGGCTCAGATGGTAAAGAATCTGCCTGCAATGCAGGATACCCAGGTTGGATCTCTGAGTTGGGAAGATCCCCTGGAGAAGGGAATGGCAACCCACTCCAGTATTCTTGCTTGGAGGATTTCATTGACAGAGGAACCTGGTGGGCTGCAGTCCATGGGGTTGCAAGAGTCAGACATAACTGAGTAACTAACATTTTCATGTTTTTCACTTTTCACTATATGTGAAATAGTGTAATAAAACTTGAAAAGCGTAGGTAGTTAGTTAAATATATATCATAAATACATAAATACAAATCATAAAGCAACCACTTAAGTAGAGCAACAAAAAGATAAAGTTAGTAAGCCAAAAGAGGAGATGAGAGACAATCAGAGAGACTTAATCCAAAATAAAGCAATAAAAGGGGAAAATAAGTAAAACTACAAGAAATATCAGAAGCTCTCACTTTCCATCTTCCTCCATTTTAGCTCCTTGGATAGACTTTTGTTCTATGTACTTTCTGTTTACTAATTCAAAGTATTTAGAGTGGGTGGGCTCATGAAAATTTCTACAACAACTCCATTGTTTAGTGTTGATAGCTTCTTAAGAGTCTTTCTTGATCCTGGAGTAAGAGAGTAGTGAAGTGAAAATTCCTTCCTTGATATCCCAAGTCTTCTTGTCCTCATGTTACTTTTGTTGCTACTAACCCACACAAAGGGGACGTTTGACCTTGGTTATATTTCCAAGCCTTACTATTTTCATTTATAGTCTCTTCCTCAGGCAAGGTGCCTTTTACTTCAGCTACTTTACTGTGTGTGTGGTGTGCTCAGTCATATCATTCTGCAACCCAACGGACTATACCTCTCCAGGATCCTCTGTCCGTGGTGTTTTCCAGGCAAAAATACTGGGGTGGGTTGCCATTTCCTACTCCAGGGGATTTCTTGATGCAGGAATGCACCTGCATTGGCAGGCAGATTCTTTACGACTGTGCCACCCGGGAAGCCCTGGAATGAAAGCAAATGAAAATAGAACCTAAAACTGACAAATCCGAGACAGAGTGTTTGTTGTCAGTTTTTTGTTTTTGTTTTTAAATCTATCTTGTTCATTGCTAGTTCCCCTAAACCTATAGCATTCATGAAATGTTTAATTCTGCATAATTTTGAATAAATGAATGAATCTTAGATTGCACAGTTTATACAGCTTCAAAGTTGTAGTTTCTCTTTCATGCCCCATGAATTTGTAATCCTTACTCTAGTTCTTTTTTTGGTAGGAATGAACAAAGATGAAATTTGTGCTTAAATATTGAAATTACATGTAGTAGCCACATGATCTTGAATGAATTGCTTAACTTAACTGAGTCTTAGATTCCTCATTGCAAATAGAAAACTGTTTAAAAATAAGCTAATGCATATTATAAAAAAATTAAGAGTTTATTTGGGCAAAAATTATTGGAATTGGGTAACAGAGCCAAAGGGCTTTCCTGGTAGCTCAGACGGTAAAGAATTCACCTGCAATGCAAGAGACCTGGGTTTGATCCCTGGGTCAGGAAGATACCCTGCAGAAGGGAATGGCAACCCACTCCAGTATTCTTGCCTGGAGAAGTCCATGGACAAATGAGCCTAGCCGGCTATAGTCCACAGGGTCACAGAGTCAGACATGACTGAGCTACTAATGGTTTCAGTTTCAACAGAGCAAAACTGGAAGCAGTTAGGAGCACTTCTTGGACAGAAGATAATGAAAAGACTTACAGAGAGGAGGAGTAAGCAAAGCCAGGAAATAATCTGATTGGCTACATCTTCAACATTTGCCTTATTTCAAAAAGCCTAGTTGTCTGTGATTGTTTGTCTTTAGGTTTTGAATTTTAACCTTAAGTCATTGACATACTTAAGTTTCAGTTTGCTTGCTAGGCTGCTACAGTATTAGAACCACCTCTGTCTAATGACCTCCTTGTTTAATTAATTTAACAGACCATTATAATTACCTTAAAGAGTGGTTGGAAGGGTAAAACTGGATTATTTCCTTAAATGCAATGGCAACTATGAATGAAAACAACAACAATAAACACATTCCTTTTACAAATATTTCTTTTACTTTTCTTTTGTATCTGGTCAATGAAGGACTAAGAAAAAAAAAAATATATATATATATATATAGTGTCTTCATTCTCCTATGTCACTAAGACAAAATTAAGTCAATTTCTCACTCTCTAGAGTTTACAGTTTATAGAACACTTCAGTTAGCTTTTAATGCCCCAACTCCTCATATATTTTCCACTTGCCTCATTAATGTTCTGTCTTCTACCTTCTGACTCACAGAGAGCTTAATTAACTCAGTTCTGGGGTTACCTATTTGCTGACTCATTTTATCTTTTACAGTCCCCTAACCTTCAATCCTTTGACTTTGCACTTTGCTTCAGTTTATCTCTCTAGATTTATTTTGTTTCCTTGAGGACCCATGCAGTATATTCTTCAGAATGAAGCATATGTTCACATATAAGCATAAATTTATAAAATTTTAGGTGATCAGAGGTTGACTAAGAGAACCACTCCTCTTTAGAAGCAAAAGTTAAAGTTTTGTCAATAGTGAAAATAAAAAAAATAGGAGTTTGTGTTATGAGGGAAGATTGAGAGACAGAGAATGCCAGCAAGAAAACATGCTAAGAACACGGAGCAGAGAAAATGGGCTTTAAGAGCATTCATTAGTAGAGAGAAGTCTGGAATTACAGGAATAAAAAGAAGAAACTGTTGGAGTCATGGAAAAGCAGGTATTTCTGCATGACTTCTGATTCAGTTCTTGAATGCTAAATAAAGCATATTTAACATTTAAGGTGTGGGTTGTGTCCAACATGGAAAAGTTCTGCCAGACATAATTTGAGGTTCTGATTTGAAGACATATAGAAGCTATAAAGTGAAGTGAAGTGAAAGTTGCTCAGTCATGTCTGACTCTTTGCGACCCCATGGGCTATAACGTCAATGGAATTCTCCAGGCCAGAATACTGGAAGGGGTAGCCTTTCCCTTCTCCTGGGGATCTTCCCAACCCAGGAATTGAACCAAGGTCTCCTGCATTGCAGGCAGATTTCTGCATTGCAGGAACTTCTTTTTTTTTTTTTTTTTTCAGATTCTTTACTAACTGATCCACAAGGGAAGCCCAAGAATACAGGAGTGGGTAGCCTAGAGGATACCTATAGAATTATAGCCTAGAGGATACCTATAGAATATAGGAGTGGGTATCCAGTGGCTCTTCCCGACACAGGAATTGAACTGGGGTCTTCTGCATTGCAGGTAGATTCTTTACCAACTGAACTATCAGGGAAGCCCTGTAGAAGCTATAGCTACAGGTTCTATATCTAAGGTTGAAGGGTAGCCATTTTAAATAATTTCTGTGATTGCACAGAAGTAGATCTTAAGTAATGTGGATTTTCTGCCATTACCACATTAAAAGATTAGCCTGGAAATGTCAATAGAACTTTTTAGTGGCTTTCCCATAGAGCATAATTAAGCCCAGAAAGTTTTAACTAAAATGAGAATGCACAATTCAAGAGAATCAATATCCGGAAACCAACTCCATTTTATTTCTCCTTAAGGCGTTGCTTCTCAGAGTGTTGTCTACCACCTACCTGCTACACCCTGGATGTTTGTTAAAGATGTGGATTTCTAAGCTCTGCCTAAGTCTCACAGAATCACTGACCTAAAACATAAAAACAAACAAACAAAAAAAAGATTCCTCAGTTAAGGTAGTAGCGCTACGAGTCTAATGCTCAAAGTACCCAAAGACATCTGACTGTTGAAATACTGATGATACACTTGGTTTAAGCTATTTTTAGTTTAGTAAATGAGCAAAACATCATATTCTAGCCATAATTATGCTAGCAGGTGTGCATCAGGTAATCAACTTGACTGAATATACATCTTGGCTTCATACAGGCTGTATGAAAATTATTAAGGTAAAACTGCTGGCCTTCCTATCATGATCACAGGGTTGGGGAGGGGGCATCATAGAAAACAGTGTTCGATTAGAGAGTATTTGTTAGGGGGAGATCTGCTTGTCTCATTAGTTATATTTTAAGATGACACTTCATGGTCATAAGGTAGGAACCTATGCTCAGATGTAGGTACAAAGCTTAATATAAAAAGTCAGGTCCCTAATAAGACAAAGAACATTACTAGATACTCTGAATGTGGGAGGATTATCTATAGATTAATAAAATGAATATTTAGTCGTATAATTCTGCTCTCTTGAGCCAGTGCAAGTAAACTCACTTCTTAGATACTTGTACTTTTTGTCCAGATCTATGAGTGAAATGGCCTTTTTAATATCATATGATTTTCAGTTCAACAAAAATTTTGGGGGTACTTGTTCTCTAGGCATTGGGGAAACTGGTGAATAAGAGAGAAAATTCTTAATGATTTAGTAAAGCTTGAATTGAATGGAAGACATGTCATTCCTGGTTACTCCCTTCTCATAGTCATCAGAAAATAATATGCTAGTGATAGCACTTCTGTTCTGAACAAACACATATATTAGGTTGTTAGCATCATTGGCAACCATACCAGCCTTGTTCTGTTAATGTTATGGTCAGCTAAAAATTCTGGTGGTCCAAGTTCAAAAATCAGAGGATCATTGATAGAGCAGCTAATGTAGTCTGGGAATTAGATTCTTCCCGAAGAGGGCAATAAAAACATTGAAGAGATTGATTGAGTACATACTGAAAGAGAATGCAGTCTACTTTGGATAGAATGGTTTCCAAAGTGTCTTAGTCAGAAGTCATTTTATTCTCAAGTAACAGAACTCATATTGGGTCCAAATGTTAACAGAGCAAGGTCTCTGATTTATACTTTGTTCATGTGGAAGATGCATTTATTCTTTCTGCTCATGCACAGTCTTCACTCTATTAAATAAAGGATTAATCCATCTCCAGCTTCATCTTGCCTTTTTAAACCTTTATTAAGATATCATTGATACACAAGAAGTTGCATACATTTAATTTACACCTCTAGATGAGTTTGGATATATGCATATATCCTTGACAACATCACTACAATCAAGGTACTAAACATAGCCAATACCTCCACAATTTTTCTTGTGTTCTTTGTTGTGTGTGTGTGTAGGTGGGTGGGTGGCATAAGAATACTTAACATGAGATCTATCTTCTTAACACATTTTGAAGTGCACAAACATTCTGTTAACTATAGATAATATGTTGTACAGCAGATCTCTAGAATTTATTCATCTTGCAAAGCTGCAACTTTATACTCATTAAACAATAACTCCAAATCCCCTCTTCTCACCAACTCTATTTTCTGTCCCCATGTATCTGATTATTTGAGAAACTCAATAAAAGTGGAATCATGATGTACTTATCCTATCAAATACCCAACAGAAATTATATAGCCAGTCTCAGGTGAGGAATCAGTCCAGTTGACAAGTGTTTACCCCTGGATCATCTAATTCAGGATGATCATAGTGACAAGGTGTAAACATTCCATACATCAACGATACTTGGCAAAATACCAACACTAGATAATTCTTATTATCTTGACTTCTCTATACCTACAGGTAGTAGTTGATATTTGCTGAGGAAAATGATACAACTATGCCAAATATTTTCTGATTGAAATATGTCATCAGAAAAGTCAAAAGACACTTGAATGTGACCAGTGTGGTAATGGATCTTCTACAAATCTCCCCTTTCTGCGTTCCAAGATTTCGTATATTCTCTCTCCATAAACAATCCTCTTTCCTTCTTCACCCTCACTTAGGAATGACAGGCTGGTCTCAAAGTTGATTATGGAAACAGAAATCATCTGCATCTCCAGGCCACCCTGGACATCACCATTAACATCATCATCATCGTCATCATCGTTGTCATCAATTATAATGCTAGTAATGGCATCAGCAATAACAACAGCAATTGTGCCTGTATCATTTTTTTTCATTTGTTACAATGGAAAATGTCACCTATCAATTCTACTAGCACTTATGTCTTCATCTCCTTTCACTTTTTAAGATACCTTTTTCCTGCAGCTACACTCAATTGCTGTGAAAATATGAGATAATACAAATTCTTCTTAGATTCCCTGACCCAGAATATTTGGGAAACTACAGAGATTCATGGTTCAGATAAGCATTTTAATAGGTCTAACACCATATACAAAAATAAACTCAAAATGGATTAAAGACCTAAATGTAGGACCAGATACTATAAAATTCCTAGGAAAATAGAGGCAGAACACTCTTTGACATGAACTGCAGCAATAATTTTTTTAATCCATCTCCTAAAGTAAAGAAAATAAAAACAAAAAATAAACAAATCAGACCTAAATAAACTTAAAAGCTTTTGCACAACAAAAGAAACCATTGACAAAACAAAAAGACAACCTAATAGACAGGAAAGATATTTGTGAATAGTGTGACTAGTAAGGAGTTAGTATACAAAATATGTAATCAGCTCAACAAATAAAACAGCTCATACAAGTCAATATCAAAAAACAAAATAAAACACATTTTAAAAAATGGACAGAATAATTGACTAGACATTTTTAAAAGACAAAATGCAGATGGTCAACAAGCAAATGAAAAGATGCTCAACATCACTAATCAGGGAAATACAACTCAAAACCACATGAGATATCACCTCATGCCTATCAGAATGCCTACCATCAAATTAATACAAATAGCAAATTTGGGGGAGGATATGGACAAAAGGGAATCCTCTTATACTGTTGGCAGAAATGTAAATTGGTGTAGCTACTGTGGAAAAAGTATGGAGGTTATTTTTGTTTTGTTTTTTAAAAAGCTAGAAATAGAATTACAGTATGACCAAGCAGTTCCATTCCTGGGTATATATACCCAAAATAAAGACAAAAATACTTAATCAGAAAGATATATGCACCCCAAACTTCATAGTAGCATTATCTAATTATCTACACTCACCAAGATACAGAAGCAACCTAAGTGTCTATCAACAGATGATTGGATAAAGATTTGGTGTGTGTGTGTGTGTGTGTGTGTGTGTGTGCGTGCACACGTTCAGTAGCTCAGTTGTGTCTGACTCTTTGTGACTCCATGGACTATAGCCCACCAGGCTCCTCTGTCCATGGAATTTTCCAGGAAGGAATACTGGAATGTGTTGCCAGTCCCTTTTCCAGGGTCATTTACTTGCATTTAAGCTTTATTCTGTTTCACCTGCAAATGTTTTTCTCTGCACAGTTAGACACCTGGGTTTACATGTACTCATATGCTACCAGTTTGACAATCTAAGACAAAGACAGTATCTTCCTCCCAGTTCCAGCTGAATATATTCCAAGGAAGAACTTGTGCTGATCTGGCTTGGTCTAACCCATGTAATCAGTCACAGTAGCTGCGGAAGTGAGACTTTATCTATTAACTCTTGATGTAAAACAATCAACCCCAAAAGTTAGTGGATTAAATTGCAGTCATTCATTTCTAATATAATTCTGTAGTGCAGTCATTTTGAATTGGGTTTACTGGGTAGTTTTTCTGGTCTTAGCTGGGCTTATGTATGTAGTTGGGGCCAGCTGCTGATCACTGGAAACTTGCTGGCCTACAGTGGCCTTAACTAACATGTGATGTCTCTGCTGAATGTTGTTTCTCATATTTTACCAGGTTATTTTGGGCTTCATATATTGTAACTGGACAGGGCTCCAAAAGAGAGAGTAGAAATATGCAAGGATTCTTGAGGCCTCTGCTTGGATCCTGACTTTACCAAATTGTACTGTGTCTTATTAGTCAAAAATATCATAAGGCCAGGTCAGATGGAAGAGGGAGAAAGAGGTAGGTTTAATGGCAGGTTAATGGCAGAACTTGCAACTAGTGAAGATACGGGGAAAGGCAAAGGATGTCAACATCTATGCAGTCACCCACAGAGGTAGCATGTTGAGAAGAAATAGCATAGCATGCACACAGCTAGTGAGATAATTCCTTCGGCTTCACTTTTATTTCTGTTTCTGTCACCTATCTCCTTCTATGATGACTCATTGGAAAAGTCCCTGATGCTGGAAAAGATTGATGGCAGGAGGAGAAGAGGGCATCAGAGGATGAGATGGCTGGATGGCATCACTGATACAATGAACATGAAGTTGGGTAAACTCCAGGAGATGGTGAGAGACAGGGAGGCCTGGCATGTTGCAGTACATGGGGTCGCAAAGAGTCAGACACAACTGGGCAACTGAAAAACAACAACAACAACATGCATTGCTCAACAAATATTACTAGTGCTTTCCTGCCTTAGTACTGTGCTTTGACTAACTGCCCATGTTTCTGATGATCCTGACACCTCGCTGCATATCTTTTAGCTCTCTGGCCTTTAAACTCATTTTGAGTGGTGGTCTATGGAAAACCCACCACCTCTGGGAAACCTCATGTGATTACTCCAGGTGAAGGGAACTTTTTCTCCTCAGGACCTGTAGCAGTGGCTCTCAGTTTCAGTGGCACATTAAAATTTTGTGGGAAAAAAATTAATGCCTAGGTTATTGCTGCTACTGCTGTTTATTTGCTAAGTCATGTCCAGCTCTTTCTGACTCTATGGACTGTAGCCCACCAGGCTCCTCTGTCCATGGGATTCTCCAGGCAAGATTACTGGATGGGTTGCCATGCCCTCCTTCAGGGGATCTTCCTGACCCAGGGATCAGAACCATGTTTCCTGTGTCTCCTGCATTGGCAAGCAGATTCTTTACGACTGAGCCACCTAGGAAGCCCCATGTGACACCTTAGACCAATTAACCAGGATCTCTGGGAGAAGAGATCCTATCATCAGCTCCCCTGGTGATTCTAATGTACAACAAAGGTTGAGAGCCCCTTTTCCAGAATAATTTCTAATAAAGTTACTCATTTGTTAATTGCCAATGTAGGATTACAGTGGTTTGTTTCCTTTTATACTGTGAGCTCTCTAGGGCAGGCATCTTGCTTGTCACCTTGTACCTAGCTGGCACTCAATATGGGATTGCTGATAAAGTGAGCTAGAATTAAGATCCATTTTTATAATGTAATTTAAAATGGTCATATAAATTTTAAATGAAGCATCTTTTAAAAGATCATACATATTCTTATTTTATAAAGTCAGTAGCTAAATTAATTTCTCAGAATTATTTGTAAAGTCAACCAAATTTTTAACATTAAGAAACTGATGTGTATTTTTAATATATTAGTTTCCAAATCTATTTTTTTTCACATAGATATACTTGATTTTTTCTTCCCAGCTACTATTACATTACAGGAAGTCTTTATTTTGCGTTTCTTTTCAATGATTCCCTTCTGTGGCCCAGCATAGTGCTAAGTGATTGCTATATTTATTGGTATATTTTAAAAATAATTTTTAACTAGAATACAAATAATTCCTATATATATAAAATTTCCATAGAATTAAACATTGATTGTTGCAATGGCAGCATGGATGACTAGAAAAATGTGAGTTATACTTGCCTCCAGACATTAGAAAACAATATTCAGCTAAGCAGGAAATCAATTCTAAAATACAAATGTTCCTTAACAGTAGCGGTAGATGAAGAAATGATTGACTTGAATTGCTAAGTCATTTCACACAATGATAGCAGGGTAAAATATTTCAAAATTGTTCTCACTGAATATTCTTCTATTCCTCCCACACACACAGAAGAAAAAGAAATCACTATTCAGTCAAAGTAAATTTACATACATATATACAATCTGAACTCCCTCAGAGGAATGAGAACAAGAAAAATTGTCTTTATTTCTTTGGAATATATTTGCTTAAAGCACAGAGACCTTGTTCCTATTACACTGAGTACTCGTTCTTCTGTAGCTGGAGTATAAAGGTGGATAAGATAATAAAGAGGAAGGGCAAATAGAAGATTTCTTTATGTAAGAGTGTCTGTAGGTGGAGTATGTGTTTACACATATTTGACCTACACTTTAAAAAGACATTAATTCATCACTCAGTAAACATTGCACTGTTTCAACTTCCCTCAAAGGAAAAAAGTAAAAAGCAGCAACAAAGACCAAGTTAGGTATATCTAACAAAAGGGCAGAGAAGGACTGATGTCCTCGAAAAGAAAAAATTGTCCTTACTCACAAAGGCCGTGAAATATAAGCAGCAGGTTTAACATGTGTCAAACTTGACTCAAGACTTTCAGATTTCATAACCAAGAATGAAAAAGTTCTATCTAGACTCACCCACCTAGACTCAGAAAGAGATAGGCAAAGTGGCACAGTTATTTTTACAACTATTTAACTTGCTGTTTGCTGGTATCATTTGATTTTCCTATTATTTTGAACTAATTAGTGATCAATAAGAAAAGAGCAGATTTGGGAAGACTAGTGGGGAGACAAATCAGGAAAATTGAATGCTTTATAAAAAACCCTGTTTTTTCTTTATTTTGTGAGAGAGAGAAAATAAATATGTAAATTATGAGTTTTTATAATCCCCTCCCTTTCCTCCCTCATAGAAGAGAGTTTCTGCTAGTAGTTGATCACTCAGGTTTTAGTTATATAGA